GGATCTGTGTCACATTCACACAGGGCTGAGCCCCTTCTCCAGCATCCCCATCGGATGCGGCGGATTCGGAGAGTCCCTGCCATGCTTCGGCGCTGGCTCTGCCACCAGCTCCTCTCCCACGAGGGAACCGCGCACGTCTCCCGAGTTGTGTGTCATGGCAGAGTTCTCGAGCCGAAAGGCAAGCATCCATTTCCTCTTTTGTTTCTTGGTTTCAGATTAAAAAAAAAAAAAAAAAAAAAAAAACCTCAAACCCAACCTTTATGGTATCTCTCTGCAAACCCCTTGCTGGGGCCCGCAGCACTGCCTGGTCACTCCGGGGTTCCCAGCCGGGGCCACAACGCTGAGGTTTGTGCTCGTCCCATCACACCAGCCCTGGTTTTGCAGCCCCACCTCTGCCAGCTTGTACCTGATCTCTGCGAGTGGTCCTCTGGCTGGAAAGCCCGTCGTTCCCAGCGGTGCTGCTCCCTCGGGACCGCTTTTTGCTCTGGCCCTACTATTTAGTTTTCCTGCTAATCACACTGTCTCCTTATCTCTGGGTCACACTGCGCCCGCCGCCACCGCTATTGTTTCCCTGCTGTGGGCTGGATAATAACAGGAAAGACCTCCGGGCTTGCAAAGCAAAACCTGTCTCGGACTTAAATGACCCAGAGGTTCCCGGCTCCCTGGTGCATATGGCAACATGCCCCTCGCCACCGCAAGCCGGGGTCACCCCCCGACCCCGGGCCCTGAGATCGGTGGAAAATTGTGGGATGCTCTCCGGGGTGGCACGGCGCAGCCGGCGCTGGGGTGATGCGAGGAAAGGGAGAGCGTTGGTGGGGGGGAATGGAGAGGGGGTGCAGGCAGAGCCTCCCCCTCCGCACCCGATGCTGCTGCGGGTGCTTCCCTGGTCTCCAGCCGGCTCCCAGTGCTGCCACCTTCAGGGACTGGTCCCGGCCACCCAGCACCCATTTTTTCTATGCAGGGTGCCCAGGGCTTCGCTGGGGTTCAATAGGGTGGGTTTGCAGCTTCTCTCTGCTCCAAAGGCCTTCCCCACCCCCAGACCCCCCCCCCCCCAAGCTTTTCATACTGTTGCTGCGCAGGGTGAGGCAGGGCTGCTTGCCACAGGGGAAACTGAGGCAGGAAAGGGCCTCCCACAGCCACCCACAGTGCTCCCCCAGTACCCCACTGCCTGGCTCCCCCCCCTCCAGCCACCCCAGAGTTTGGGACATGGGGACCTGCCCTTTGGGACCAACCCAACAAAGCCAGCCAGCAACACCCCAGCACAGCAAGTTCCACCCGCGGGTCCCTTCACCCTCCCCACCGAAAGAGGAGGGAGGAGGGAGATGCCCATCTCCTTTGCCATGCATATTTCAGCGCGAGTGTTTCTGAATATTTCCGGAGGAGGAGGGTGTGTAGTTTTCACAGGCAAATCAGGAAAACCTAGGTGAGGCGGGAGACAACGCTGTGGCAGGACGCAGGCCGTGCCGGGAGGGTGTTGGTCCGGGATCAGGAAGGCTGCCCAGCAGCTTCTCCTGGCTGGAGCTCTCCCAGCCACAGTTTGGCCTGAAATGAGGAATTCCCACGCCCAAGAGCGGCGGAGCAAAGTCTCTCCTCCTCCAGAAATTACAGATTACCCTGAATCCCACCCCTGCCAGTGCTCAGAATCCCATCTCTCACATCCAGGCTGCGGGTTGCCCAGAGAATAAATTGCTACCACTGCAGCATCTACCACATCTGGGCAGCTGGTGTTTGCCAGAGGGAGCTAACACCCCCGAAACACCGCATCCCGCCCGTGCAGCCTCACCACTTGCAAACAAAACACTCGCAGCCCTGAGAAACTACGGCGGCTTCATCAGATACCTCCGTGACACCCACCTCGTGGTTTGGGTGGCTGAAAGACTTGGGGTTTATCTGTTCCCCTTCTCCAAGCTGCTCAAGAAGAGTTTGTGTTGTCGACCATCCAAGCAGCCGCCTCCGCACATGGTCCCCGGCACAGTCATGCCCAGGGGTAGGAGGTGGGTGACCTTTCAGATTCCCACCAGCCACACTCTGTTTACTACTCTGTGACCTTACCAGCCCCAGATCTACATCTACAGCAAATCCAAAGGGCTGAGGAGGAAGATCTCCATGGTCTGATGATATAAGTGCCCCAAGCTTCGTGTCTGAGCATCCTCTGTAATCCAGGCCCAGAGGTACCACCACAGTGGGTCCCAAAAAACTGAAACCCACAGCCGTGTGCTGGGCAGAGCCTCCCCGAGCCCCTGAGGCACCAAAACCACACGACGGGATGGTGAGGAGCACCCCGTTGTGTCCCTCAGCCCCCAAGTCTCCGCTCTGTCAGAGCTCAGCTCTCGGCTCAAGACCAGCAGTGAGGTTTAGGTGTGATTTTAACGGGAACGAGCATCCCACTTGCCTCGCCACGAGACATGGAAACCAGGCTCATGTTCTCCTCCCTATAAGCCCATCGATGCTGTCATTAATTAGGTGAAAAAACCCTGAATAGTTCCTCTTTTAAAAGCCCCGGTGGTCCCTGGGGAGCTGGCGTGCAGCGTGGCTGCTCGCCCCGGCCGTGGCACAGCCCGGGGCACCTGCGGGGCCCACGGTGCATGAATCACCCGGTCACAGGACCGAGAGGAGCGAGGAGAAATCACCCATCAGCTGACAGCACCCAGAGGGACACGGCCCCGCTCCCCTGGGGTGCCGGCGGGGTTTCGGCACGCCACGTGCGGGGACGGGTGCGTGTCCCCCGCCCTCAGCACGGCCCAGCCCCAAAGAGAGGGGCAGGGGCTGGGGGACAGCGGGAGCGGGGGGGCTCTCGGCGCTCGCACGGGCGGCTGCGGTTGCTTCCTCGCTAAGGGGAAGGTGCCAGCACTTTCTTGGTGTTTCTGGGGTCTGAACCCAGCAGGGACAGTTAAATAATGTCACAGTTTGTCCCAGCCTCTGCAAAGGCAGGTGGGGGGGGCCACGGCATAGGGGGACGGAGGTGGTTACAAGGGGTAGAGGAGGTTGGGGTCACCTGGGTGTCGCAGATTTATTGCTCCCGTTAGTTCTGGGGTTAATGAGGGAGCTGGTTCAGGGGCTGAGCTGGAGGCTCAGCCCAGCTCTGCCTTCCTCGCTTTATTAACATGCTGAGGTTTTGAAATGCAGGGGCCACGGTGGTGCATCGCCTTTGAGGAAGGGACCACAGCATTTCATGCACGTGGATCCGTGCTGCGAAATCACCGATGCCAGCGGTGATTATTTACGTTCCTGAAACAGCCTGATCAGGATGGGGTTCGCGTGGCCTAAGAGCCAGGCGTGTGGGCTGAGCAAAATAAGTGAAAGCTCTCGGCTGCAGACTCCATCCAGACTGAGCTGTAATTTAAAATCATTCAGACCATCCCAGGTGAGATTTTTTTTTTTTTTTTTTTTTTGGGCTCCCTTTGGGTAAACTGCTCTGCTTGGGACACTCCAACCCATTAAGCTGAGCTGTAACTAAGCCAGTCCAACCCCCATGCGGCTGTTTTCATGCCAGTCTAAGGATGCCTCCGTTTATTTTGGCTTAAGGCTGTTCCCCATCAATTGGCATCCAAACACTATTAGTAACTGAGACGGTGTCCGTGCGGGATTAGGCTGCTCTCACAGGCTGGGTTTAGTGGCATGGCTCCTTCCTTTTGAGCTTTGAGCCAGGCTCAAACCCAGCTGTGAGGGGTCGGGGCGTTATCACTGCATCCACAGCCTCAGCTGCCCGGATTCGGTGGGGGGACAGTGGGGGGTGCAGGTGCCACTAGGGATGGGGGTGGGGGTTAAGGGGGCACTGTCACCCCTCTGCTCATGGTGCTGGGGGCAGAGACACCCCCACCCGGGTCAGTATGAGGTAAACGTGGGGCTGGGCCACCGTGGGGCCGCCGGATCGCTCCGTCGTGGGGCGAGGAGCCGGGCCAGTGCCTGCTTGCCAAATCCAGCACGGCACTTGCCAACGCAAATCCTCGCCGGTGCCTGCCAGTAAGGCTGAGCAAAACCCTCACCCCCTCCCGTATGAAGTCTGGAGGAACTGGAGCGGTGGTGCTGCTGGACACGGGAGGGACGGCTTGATTTCTATTTTTTTTTTTTTTTTTTTTTTTGGGGGGGGGGGGGGGGGGGGCGTGGGGGGAAGGGGGGGGGGGTGGCCCTGCTCTGATCTGCGTGGGGCTTGGAGGGCGTGGGAGCGCAGGGACGCACCGGGGGACCCGCAGCATCCCCAGCACCGGGCTCCGACCGTGGGAATGCGCTGATGGGGAGGGGGAAGGAAGGGGGCTCGCCGGGGACCCCCCCCTCTCTGGGTCGGGGCGGTGCTGCCCGGGGGTGGGGGGGGGTGCGGGCGGTGAGTGTCGTGTGTGTGTGTGTCCCCCCCCCCTCTCCGCTCCCCGCTCCGCGCCTCCCCAGCGCCGGGGGCACCGGAACCGGCCGCCAAAGAAGGCAGCGGAGGCGGGACCGGATCCAGCCCTTGTATGGTGCTGCTTCCCCTCGGCTGCCCGCCCGCCACCGCCCCGCTCCCCCCCCCGGGCCCCCCCCCCCCCCGCCGCCGCCGCCGCCGCCGCCGCGCTCCCCCCGGGCCGCGCCGGGCCACGGGGCGGGAGGGCGGGGGGGGGGGGGGGGGGGCGGGCTGCGTCTGGGGGGAGTGCAAGGGCGGGGGGGTAAGCGGTGTAAATAGAGGGGGGTGCAAAAGGAGTGCCCTGCGAGGGGAAGTGGGGGTGCAACGGATGGAAGGGGGGCTGCGAGTGATGGGGGGCTGCAAGGGATAAAGGGGGTCTGTGAAGGGTAGGGGGGGGGGGCTTTGCGCAGGGTGAGGGGGCTCTGCGCAGGGTGGGGGGGGGGGGGGAAGGGGGTGTGCTTTTAAGGGAAGCGGGGTCCTGCGATGGATGGGCACCGCTGCAATGGGTGGGGGCTGCAGTGGGTGGGGAGGGGGGGCCCTGAAGTGGACGGGGGGACCCTGAAGAGCACATGGGTCCTCACCCACCCCACCCCGCACCCACAAACAAACCACCGGGGCGGGGGGAGAGGGGGGGCTCGCTGCCTCCCCCCAACTCCTGGTACATGATCCCCCCCCACTCGTGCACCGCATCATCCCCTCCCCAAACCTCAGAGGCTGCCGGCACCGCAGGATCAAAGTCCCCGGGCCTCGCAGCACCGGCCCCCACCTCCTGCCCGCCCCCCCGCCCCCTCCCCGCAGCCGGCAGCGGGTGCCCGGTCCCCTCCAGCTGCAGCCCGGATTTCACTCCCATTGCAAAGCCGGCCCTGCAGGAATTGGGTAAGTGGAGCTATTGCAACACAGCATTTTTCCATACATTTGCTATATAACTCGGAGGGTTTTAAAGATAGCATCAGTTGGCACACTTAGCACGAAACCACCTAATTACTGACGCCTTGGAAGTGCCAAACTTTTAAAGGGGGGAGGTGAGGTTAAAATCACAGGCGACCAACAAGTGTTACCTGTTTTAAAGTATTCAAAGCACTGTTCCCCAGGGGACCCGGGGCATGGGGAGGGGGCAGCTCGGTGCAGAGCCACCTCGGCTGTCCCCCTGCCACCAGCTCGGGATGCGCAGTTCCAGCGCTTTCCCCGCTGACCCTCTGCTCCCCACCGAACTCCCGGCTCTGCCTGTTGCGGTGGTTTCCCCCGCGCACCTCCCGGCCCGCTTCTCCCGGGCTGCGGGATGGGGTTTGTGGCCGGTCCCCCCTCCCCTCCGCCCTCCTCCTGCTCTCCAGGGGATAAAATCTCCAGGTAAGAGCCTGTCCCTGAGCATCCCCGGGGGAGGACGCCGGGACAGGCAGGGCAGGGGCGGGCTGCCCCCACTCCTTCCCGGCGCGATCCGGGGGGTGGGCTGGAGCCGTCGCCACGGCGAGAGGAAGGAGGGGGCGGAGGGGAAGACCCCCTCCCGGTGTCCGGTGTAGGATGCCCAGTGCAGGATGCTGGTGCCCGGTATAAGGTGCCCTGTGCTGGACGCCTGATGAAATGTGCCCTGTGCCTGGCACAAGATGCCCGGTACCCGGTGTAGGATGCCCGGTACCCGGGCCGGTGTAGGATGGCCGGTACCCGGTGCAGGATGGCCGGTACCCGGTGCCCTCCTGTACCCGGTGCCCTCTACCCAGTGCAGGATGCCCGGTACCCGGTGCAGGATGCCCGGGGTAGGATGCCCGGTGCCCGGTACCACGCTCCCCGTTGCCCGTCCCCGCGCGCGCCGGCCCCGCTTCCTGCTTTCTAATGTTCCATTGTGCGGAGCTTCCATTGTGACGTCCTCGGCCTCGGCTCGGCTTTGTCTGTCCATATATGGGCAGCTACGTCACGGAGCGCTCCCGCCGCCCGGATAAATGGGCTGCGGAGTCCCCGGCGGAGCAGTCGGGCGGCAGCAAGGGAACCTGCGAGCGGAGCCGAGCGCGGGAGGGAGCGGGGCCGGGGGGCCGGGGGACCGGGGCCGGGGAGCGGGAGCGAGCGAGAGGAGAGAGAGGAGGGGTTAAATCCTCCCACCCGCTTCTACAACCACATCTGCCAGCCAGATCGCCCCCCTCCCCCTCGAGGAAACACCACCAGCGACCCACGGAGGACCGCACCCCCCCCACCCCCCCACCCCCCGCGCCCCCTCCTCCGCGGCCACCCCCGGCTCCCCCCCCTCCCCCCCCCCTCCTCCTCCTCCCCGGCCCCCCCCCCCGCCCCCGCCCCAACTTTTTCTCTTGCATGATTTCCCTCGCACGGATTTGCCACTCGGATGTTGTTTCCTCGGGAGCTGAGCTCGGAGCCACGTTGAACCAGCCTTTTCCTCCAGTGCTATGACAGGCAAACTACTGGAGAAGCTGCCGGGGACCATGAACACTTTGATGAACCAATTGCCTGACAATCTGTACCCAGAGGAGATCCCCAACTCTTTGAATATTTTCTCCAGCAGCAGCGACTCGGTGGCTCACTACAACCAGATGGCTGCAGGTAAGGGGGGGGGGGGGGGGGAATGAAAATGGGGAGAACGGGGGGGTGGGGGAGCCGGTGGGGCGAGGAGGAGGACGCTGTGGGTAGGGTGTCATGGAGCCTCGGAGGGAAGGGAAGCGCTGGGGCTGGGGAGCGTCCCCCCCCCCCCGCACCCACCCACCCCTTTCCTCGCCGTGGCTCCGCGATCGCTGCAGGGCTCCGCCGAGCGCTGCTCGCCGAGCCGCCGCCGCAGGTACGGGAACGGCGGCCGGGTTCCGTGGGGAGGACGACACGGCACTGGTGGGGTGGTGGTGGAGGGGTGGGTGGAAGGGAACTGCCGTCCTCCCCCCCCCCCCCCACTCCGTGGCTCAGAGGGGCCACCCGCCCGCGCCGGGATCCGCGTGGGTGCGGAGGCGCCGCGGACGCGTGTGGCCGTGCCCCCCCACCCCCCTCCCCGCACACACACACACACACACACACCCCGCAGCAGCGGCGGCAGCGTGGGCTCCTCGGGACGCGGCGCCGACTTTCCCCGAGCGTGGGGTTGGGGCGTGGGGGGCGGGGGGGGGGGGGGGGACGGGGAGGGGGGTGCACAGGTGAGCGCCGAGGGCGCGGGGCGGTGGGGGGCTCCTCGCGTGTCCCCGCTCCCACCTGGAGCCTCGCCGGGCTAAAACCTCCCCCCCCCCCCCCCCCCTTCCCCGCATCGTGTTTCTCCTCGCCGGGGCTCGGCGCAGGGAAGGCGGCGAGTCGGTAACGGCGTCGGTGGCCGCAGCCGGCTCCGCGGAGTGCCCAGCGCTGCCGGGGGCTGGACGGGGAGGAAGGAAGCCTACCTGTAGCCGCAGGTACCTCCTTCCCCCGGCCCCACCCGCGGGGCGGCGGTGGGGGGTCCGTCCGTGTCCGTGTGTCCCCCCCCCCCCCTCCCCGTCCCCCCGGTCCCGCATCACCGGGACCCTCGGCAGCCAGCGCCGCAGTACGCGGCGAGCGGAGCGGGGAAGGGGAGGAGGGGGGGTGGGGAGGGAAAGCAGCGAGGGGTAGGAGGGAGCGAGGTGGGGGGGCCCGGCGCATCCCCGGTGCCCCCCCCCCCCGCCCCTCCCGGCTCACCCTGCCCCGCTTTTCTCGCACTTTGCAGATAATGTTATGGACATTGGTTTAGCGAACGAAAAGGCCGGTCAGGAACTGTCCTCCTATTCGGGGACTTTTCAACCTGCCCCGGGCAACAAGACTGTCACCTACCTGGGGAAATTCGCTTTCGACTCGCCCTCCAACTGGTGCCAGGACAACATCATCAGCCTGATGAGCGCGGGCATCCTGGGGGTGCCGCCGTCCTCGGGCGCGCTCACCAGCACGCAGAGCTCGGCGGGCAGCATGGGGCCGCCGCAGGGCGAGGTGGACCAGATGTACCCCGCGTTGCCGCCCTACTCCTCCTGCAGTGACCTCTACCCGGAGCCCGTCTCCTTCCACGACCCCCAGAGCAACCCCGGCCTCACCTACTCCCCCCAGGATTACCAAGCGGCCAAGCCCGCCTTGGACAGCAACCTCTTCCCCATGATCCCAGACTATAACCTCTACCACCACCCCAACGACATGGGCACCATCACGGAGCACAAACCTTTCCAGAGCTTGGACCCCATCCGCGTCAACCCGCCCCCCATCACCCCGCTGGAGACCATCAAGGCCTTCAAGGACAAGCAGATCCACCCGGGTTTCGGGGGGCTGCCGCAGCCGCCCCTCACCCTCAAGCCCATCCGTCCCCGCAAGTATCCCAACCGGCCCAGCAAGACGCCGCTCCACGAGCGGCCCCACGCTTGCCCCGCCGAGGGTTGCGACCGCCGCTTCTCCCGCTCCGACGAGCTCACCCGCCACCTCCGCATCCACACGGGCCACAAGCCCTTCCAGTGCCGCATCTGCATGCGGAGCTTCAGCCGCAGCGACCACCTCACCACCCACATCCGCACCCACACCGGCGAGAAACCCTTCGCCTGCGAGTTTTGCGGCCGCAAGTTCGCCCGCTCCGACGAGCGCAAGCGGCACGCCAAGATCCACCTCAAGCAGAAGGAGAAGAAGGCCGAGAAGGGCTCGGGGGGGCAGCCCCCCGCCGCTCCCCCTGCCGCCGCCGCCGCCGCCACCACCTCGCCCCCCGTCGCCCTCGCCCCCGCCGTCACCACGTGCGCTTGAGGGACCGTGGGGGGACGGCGCGGTGACACCCCAGCTCCTCCTTTGCCCTCCGCACCGCTCCGGGGGGGGGGGTCCCAGGGTGGCCTCACACCCCCCCCCCCCTTCCCTCCCCGGGTTCAGGATGCCGGGGGGGGCTGCGCTGCACGGGGGTCCGCTCTGCCCGCACCCGGATTGACCGGGTCCAAGCTGCCCGCACCCGGATCCTGCCCTTGCACTTGGATCGACGGGATCCGCACTGCCTGGATCCAGGCCCCCCGCACCCCGCACTGCCCGGGGCCGGGCCCCCCCCGCACCCCGCACTGCCCGGGGCCGGGCCCCCCCCGCACCCCGCACTGCCCGGGGCCGGGCCCCCCGCACCCGGATCGCCCGCACCTGCACTGCCTGCCTCTGGGCTCCCCGCACCCGGATTGCCCGCACCCGCACCGCCCGGATCCCCGGCTCACCCGGATCCCTCCTGCCTGCACCCGGATTACCCGCACTGCCCGGATCCCGGATTGCCCAAACCCGGATTGCCCAAACCCGGATTGCCCGGATCCGGTTCTGCCAGATCCCGGCTGCCCGTACCCCCGCATCTCCCGGGTCCAGCTTTGCCCGCACCCCAGTTTGACCCGGATCTGGGCTACCCGGGTTGCAGATTCCCCGGGATCCCCTGGCTGACCTGGATCCCAGGTACCCAGATCCCACCCGCCCGGTTCCCTGAGGGTTGGGCTGCTCAGGATCGGGCCCTCCCGGGATCCCACCCGCCCGGTTCCCTAAAGGCTGGGCTGCTCAGGATCGGGCCCTGCTGGATCCGACCCGCCCGGTTCCCCAGGGGCTGGGCTCGCCCGGATCGGGCCCGCCCGGGTGGGGATGGATGGATGGACCCGATCCGGCTCCTCTCCGCCTCGCTGGGCCTGGATCCGGCCCCCCTGCGCCTCCCCTCCCTCGGATCCCCCCCCGCTGTCCCGGCCCCCCCTCCCCCGGCACCGGTTCCCCGCGGCGGAGGTAAGCGGGCTCGGGCCCCCCCGGGCCGGGCTGGCGGGGCGGGGGGCGGCTCTGCGGGACCCCCACAACTTCGGGGGGCGGCGGGGAGCGATGTCCCGGCAGCAGCTTTTGGGTTTGTTGGTTTTTGTTGGTTTTTTTTTTTTTTTTTTTCTTTTCCTTGGTTTTTTTTTTTTTTTTTTTTTTTTTTCAGCAGAAGGGAAATTCTTTACAGAAATGCAGAAAAAAAAAAACAGTATTTTGCTGAATACTTTTTATAATGTGAGGTATTTTTATTTTATTTTATTTGGTCACTTTAAAACAACCAACCAACTACGGAGGAGAAAAATCAATTAGTCCTCTATTTTTTTTTTTTTTTTTCTTTCTCCTTCTGGTATGTGCATGTCATTGCATGACTGCTCTGATTTTTTTCTTCTTTTGTTTTAATAAAACTGTGCTCAGACATTTAAGCTAAACTAAGCAAAAATAATAATGACTTAAAAAAAAAAAAATCTTTGTTGCCAAAAGGTCGTGCTATCCAGGTTTGATGTCTGCATGTGAAAAAAAAAAAAAAAACATTAAAAACGTACAAAAAATAAAGAGAAGAGAAAGAATGCAGTCTAATTTATGTGAACCGAAAGGAACAAAAAAAACCACAATCAGGTTTAACCACACAAACCTAAGGGAATGATATTTTTTGAAAGACTTTTGTATAAAGTTGAGTACTTAGAGAAAAAAAAATCATACCAGATGTAATATATTTTGTGGATGTTTTTATTTCTTGGATTTATAGTACCTTATACTAAGGTTAAAAAAAAAAATTATGCTTGATATTGTGAAAAGGTGATAATTTTCACACACATTTCATTTGCTCATTTGTCATGTTGTAATGCAAATATGATAGTTAATGCATACAGCATTTTTAAGGGAAAAAATCAGAAATATTGAACTGATGTATTGTTGTACCATTTGCACTGTGAGCAAATGCTAATGCAGTAAATATATTGTGTTTGCTGACAATCAAAATCTGTAGTAAATATCTTTATTTTACCTTGCTTAAAAAAGATCTATATTGGTTTGGAAAAAAAAAAAAAAGTCTTTAATATGTAAGGGGGATGTTAAAATGGTTTGAAATGTGTAGGACGGTGGGCGCTGTGCCTCTTTATGGGCGACTTTGAAACCTGTTTGTACATTTTTTTCTAGTGTTGTATTTTCTTAAATAATTTTTTTTTTTTTGTATGATTTTTTTTTTTAAAAATAACCCAACCTTTTCTCAGCCCCCCTCTCCTTCAGTTCTGTTCGCAGGACGGCGTGGCGAGACCAGCTGGCCAGGACGCTGGGTGACCCCGAAGGCGACCGGCTCCGTCCTTGCGTCCCCCCCTTTTCCCAGCTGCACGGGGACGGGCTGCGCCCTGAAGTCCCCCCCCCAAAACCGCCACGTCCTTGGTTTGCCCTTGACCTTGTGTCCCGTTTTTCCCCGCTCGTGCCGCCGCCTTGACCCCGTCACCGTTTCGCCGGCGGCTTTCGCCGGGTCGCGCCTGTCGGATAACGGTGGGCCAAAGAGGATCGCGCCGCTTCAGCCGGTAATGCCCCCGCGCCTTGCGCCACCCAAATCGCCCCAGGTACAGCGCGGGGAGGGGATTTTTGCCAGGCTGGGTCACTCGGGTTAAAAATAACCTCCCGGGTTTTAGGGCCAGCGCTCGTACGGGCACGAGGGATGAGGGGGAGAAGGAGCAAGATGAGGCACTCGGATATTCGGAGCGGGTGCAGGGGTGGTGGCCCGCGATGGTTAAATCCTGCCCCAAGGGACGGGGCTGGAGCCCTGGCTCTCCTGGAGCTGGGATTGTGCTGGAGGTGAAGGCTGGAGGTTGATGAGGGTCTGGGGGTCTCTTGGTCTGTGTGAGTCTGGTTTTGCTGGGCTGGAGTGTGACCGGAGCGGTTGAGCGTCCCAAAAGCTTTCCAGGGCTCGCTGGCGGTTTTGGCACCTCGGGTTTTCTCCGGCGTTCCCGGGGTGGTGTGACCGCTGTCAAATTGCCTGTTTTTCGGTTTGCACCCGCAGCCGGGCCCCGGAGGAGCTGCTGCTCCCGCCAGGCCAGAGCAGCTCTGCCCATCCTTGGTGTTTCGTTGTGCTCCTCACCTTGGAGAGGATTTAATTTTGGGGAGAATCCCGGGGCAGACGGTGCCCGGGGGCGGCTGCCCGGTGACCCCAGGCACACCTGGCCCAGCCAGGGTTGGCATCTCACGGTGTTGGCTTTGGAGCCCGTGGGCGCCGCGTCGGGTGGGCTCCCACATCCCTGGGTGGATTTCCAGGTGGTTGAGCCTTTGGTGATAGTTAAGACGAGGTCAGAGCGGCTGCCGGATCCGGCGCCGGGCAGGAGGGGCGGCCGGGGGCTGCCGTCCGTGGCGCGGGGTCACGGTGAGCCGGGGCTGCCCTTCCCCTCCGTGCTCTGAGCATCTCGAAGGTCCCGCAGCAAGCGGGGGGGGGCTGCGTGTTGGTTTTGGAGCCGCCGGTCCCTGCAGTGTCCCCTCGCTTGTTTTGGAGAAGGCGAGGTGGATGGATAGGATCCGGAGCCACCACACACGTAGGTGACGGAGTGGAGAGACCCACCGCGGCCCCCAACATCGTCTGAGGGTGCTGTTGTGGTGGTGGTTATGCCCAACTTGGGCTGGAAGATGTTGATGTTGGGCACGTGCCACGGCGAGGAGCCGCTCAACGTTGCTCCAACGCTTTGGGCTCCTTCGCTGCAGGCGAGGAGGAGGAGGAGGGAAGGAGCCCACCGGGTGTCAATGGGGCACCGTGGCCCCAGTGCCGGGCTGGGGACCCGCTCTGCCACCCGGGCGCAGGCGTCCCACCGGGCAGGACCCCCCCCTTCTGCGAGGAGCAGGAAGGTGAGGAGCACCCTTGGGTGGCAAAACGCGTGGAGTGCGTGCAGCACCTTGCACGAAAATGTTGGTTGCTACGGAAACACGGCACTTTCCATCCCCGTTCTGGGCTATCTGTGTTCTGGGGAGGAGGGAAGGGCTTGCCAGTCACGTACCAGCTCAACACAACTTGCTGCCTTTCCCTTCTCGACGGCGGCTCTGGGTTCCTGAAGAGGCCACCACCACCTCGCTCCTCTCTGCTGAGGGTCTTTGGGGCTTTTCAAGCTGTTGTTGGAACCCAAGAGCTCTCTGTGGGATGGGATTTGCTTCTGAGGAGGAGCACCAAGAGCTGAGACTCCATCCCCGGGGTCAGGAGCAACGAGGACCTGCACCCAGAAGCTCCTGGTTTACAGCTGGTTGATCTGGATGCCACAGATGTTGGTGGGATCCCTCTCCCTGATCTTCTCAGCCTCCGGCTCAGCCTCTCCTGCTGCCCCGGCAGGAGACATCTTCTGCAGAAGATCTGGATGGTTTCTGGATTTGCCCGACCCTCATCTCCCGCCCCGTGCCGGCGCCGCGCGGATCTGCCCACCCCTTCTTCCCCACCCCTGGCCGCGGCTGCGGGGCCGACCTCCGCTCTGGCACAGCATTTCGGAGGATGGGACCAGCCTCGTGTCCGTCCCCCCCCCCCGGCCCCGGCACGTGCCCGGGCTGGGGTGACACGTGGGGCAGAGCCCCCATGGAAGATGCTCCCCGAGCCCCGTGGCCATTGGGATGCCCAGATGCCAGCACCCGCTTGTCCCAGCTCTGCCTCCGGCCCTTCCTCACCTCATCCCCCGCGCCCCAAGGTGCCACCATGGTGGGGACGGTGGCCAGTGTGTCCCAACGGGCAGCAGGAACCACCGGCAAACCCTTCCCAGCACCGGCCTCGCTCCATCCTTCCTCTTCCTCCCTACCCTGCCCACGCCATGGCTGGGTCCTCCTGGCTGCCTCCCCTCGGGGGTTGGCTCTGATGGCCCCACCAGCACCCCAAAACCCACCACGTCACTTTGCAGCCTCCTCTCTCCAACCCCAGCTTCTTTTTCCCATCCCAGCACAAAACTGGTGCCACCGTCCCCTCTGGTTGTGTGTCCCCCCTCCCCCTCGCTCCTTTTCGGCTAATCCCCTGTCCTCACTGGTGTCGGGAACACCTTCCCAGTTTAGCATCATCCTCCCTGGCTGTAATTACCACCCTGTTTACCTCCACCTGCTTAATTGATAAAGCCACCCCTGGCGCCCATCCCAGGCCTCCTCCCCTCAGCCCCGTGCGGTGGCACGTGCTGTCACCAGCCTGGTGCCGCCGGGACCAACCCCGCTCCCCCTGCTGGGATGTCATCTCCTGGAGCTGGATTTGAGGGGTTTCTTCCCCAAAACTGGGTGGTCCTGATGTGCTGCACATCCCTGCTGCCTTTCCCTCGGATCTGTTCGGCTGGGGCAACCCTGTCGCTTCCCCTGCCTTCACCCACGCCTGGGTGCTCCTTGGGCATCTCCTCCCTGCACCCTTGCCCACCCTGGGGTGCTCCCAAGCACCCCAAGCCGTCACCCACCCCTGGGTGCTCCTGGGCATCCCCTCGCCCACCCTAGGGTGCTCCTGAGCATCCCCTCCCCGCACCCTTGCCCACCCTAGGATGCTCCCAAGCACCCCACATCCTTGCCCACCCTTGGGTGCTCCTGGGCATCCCCTCTCCATGCCCTCGCCCACCCTTAGGTGCTCCTGAGCACCCCTTCCTCTTGCCCTCGCCCACCCTAGGGTGCTCCCAAGCACCTCACACCCTCGCCCACCCTTGGGTGCTCCTGGGCATCCCCTCTCCATGCCCTCGCCCACCCTTGGGTGCTCCTGAGCACCCCTTCCTCTTGCCCTCGCCCACCCTAGGGTGCTCCCAAGCACCTCACACCCTCGCCCACCCTTGGGTGCTCCTGAGCATCCCCTCTCCATGCCCTCGCCCACCCTTGGGTGCTCCTGAGCACCCCTTCCTCTTGCCCTCGCCCACCCTAGGGTGCTCCCAAGAACCCCGCGCCCTCGCCCGCCCTTGGGTGCTCCTGAGCACCCCTTCCCTGCACCCTCGCCCACCCTTAGGTGCTCCCCAGAACCCCGCGCCCTCGCCCGCCCTTGGGTGCTCCCGAGCACCCCTCCCCTCGCCCACCCCCGCTGCTCCCGGTTTTTAGGGGGGGATCGCGTTGGTTTCACTCCAGGGGTTTGCACCGAAACGGGAGGATTTGAAG